ACAAATAATTGCAAATCACAAATTTGATTTTTTATAGAGCATTTAAATTTTATTAATTAGTGTAAAAAAACCTTCTCAAAGCTATAAATTAAATTTTACTTAGAGCTTTTGCAAAAATCCAATATAGAACCTATGAGATAGTTCTAAAGAATATACTCCTTATAAATTTTTAGAAATTTACATTTTTTTTATAATTAAACAATATAAAAGTAATTTTCAATTTTCACTTCTGATTTTGCTAATCAGTAATAAAAATTTGATCATAGTAAATTGATCAATATAGCTAACATAGTTTTAATTCTTAAGTTATGTTGCACTCTAATATATTCAGGATAGAAGTTTAATTTAATCGTACAATTTACAAAACATTCAGATATATATTAACCGATATATTGAATAATTTGAATGGTACTTTTTTTGTATTATGTTATAATCATAGGAAGACATTTACATGATTAGTTAATTTTTGTAAATCTATCTGTGATTTTTCATATAATTTTAATACTATGATTTTTGTATAGTGAATATAGACGTTTTATCGAAGCGAAAAATGGCTTTTGCAGTATTTTTTTATTAATTAAATGTTGTGTTCCCATAAAGTACTTTAAAGTGTATAAATAAGTTGCTCATTGTGAAGGGCTCCTGTAATCCAAACCTGCAAAATCTTATTTTTTTATATTAGTATTTCTTTTTTTATTATATATAAATATAAATATTTTTTAGTTTACTCAACTTAAAAGCAGAAACTTCTTATGATCTTTTTGGGGACTTGTACGATAAGTCCATTTAATGTGACTTATCCACTTAGGAGAATTTAGTTGCTTAATCAGCTTTGGTAGATTTATTTCCTTTGTCCCCTTTAGTGAATATAGTCTGCCCTATACACTTTCTTCGCTATATTCAATTCACTCATATAAAAGTGAAGTCTTTTCATGTTGAAATAAAGATAACTTAGTTGAGTTAAGCACTTTAAAAACATAACAGTTATTCTAAGTATTGATACTTATCTTTTCGCTTTTAATAAAACATTCGATTATTCTATACTCTATCTCCGTTATCTTCGTTAACAGTCGTATTAAATCGTAAACCCCAAAGTTGAGTCTTGACCTTTGAAATCTGAGTAGAAGTGTTGACTCTAAGTCCCTTAATAGTAGAATAAACTCTTATACGTAAATCATCATTAGAACCTTCTTGTTTCCTAGATTTTGTTCTAACCTTACTCTCAATTTCTTACTGAGAATAATAAAGAGAAAGAATCGATTAGTGATCCAAAATCCCTTTTATAACAAAACAATACTTGATTAAACCCTTGATCAATGTCATTGTTGTTATCTCTAATTGAAAATTTATCGCTATAATTTAATCCTGTGACTCACGTGATGATTGTTTAGAATCTTAATGATCAAATTGAAGGCTAGAGCCCCGGTATACTCAAATTAAAAGAGAAGAATTACTTTTAGCTTCTTACTGAAGCCTATAAATAACCTGTAGAAGTATAATTTAAGTTATACTTATCCTGAACCCCAGCATCGCCACAGCAAGACTCAAAAAGACCTTGAGACTTGAACCAAGTCTCTCCATGCCTCTTTCTGCCTGCCGATTCAAGGTTTTGAGAGTCTTTGAATTGTAATTTAGTTGTTTAGTTATTGGAGGTTAGTTAGTTTTTGCATTTGGCCGATTAGTCACCACTTCTTCACCAGGCAATTGATTTATATCAGCTAATCAGATGAATGTCCTCCTATGAATATATATACTAAATGAATAGTTTAAAATCATAATCATTTATTTAATGTATATAGTTACACATTCTAATAAGTAAATGTCAATATGTACATTGTGAAGGGGTAACGTGAATTAACTGCAGCAAAAAAAAATATGATCTAAGCCATAAGACTCGGGATCTTAATGCGCATTGATCGAAAAATAGAAGACATTTAAGAAATTCTAATTTGCTTCATTAAATAACAATAGTAAGGTGGAAACTAAAGTTATAGTCATGTAAATGAGTATGAATTACTCATCGTTAGTCATAGATTCCTCCTTCTGATACTCTAAATAGTCATATTGCTTAAAGATTCTAATTGTAGCAGCAAAGCCCCAAAGCTCTCTGTAATGCTATAAATAACTATCAATTTCATTTATCTAAAAACAAGTGAAGTCTATAATAATAAAGACCATTATCTAATGATAAACTCTGGGATCCTAGTGGCAGTAGAATTCTTGGTTCTTGGACCAAATCTTTTATGCCTTCTTTTAATAGCCTTTGATTTTTGTTGTATCTTAGGTTGCAAGTACTAGTCACACCAAATCTGCCCTTTTACAACATATAGCAGACCTAGGTTCTCTTGAACTGGCTGGACCTAAGTTAACTAAAGTCCTAAAACTGGTTTTATAAGAACTCGGTCTATAAGTTCATACAGTAAAACCTACAGGTTATAAGATCAGAACTGGACCAAGACTGGACTTTATCATCCCTACTGCTAAGTAATCTTTGTTCAAAGTTTAGATGTCTTAAAAAGAAGCCGGGCCAAATTTTTTTTCATAGTTGGTTTTGAAAAATCTTTGTTTAAAATTCAAAGTATTTGTTGTACACTCTATACAGTATATAGAAATATATTTATAATCACAATAATCGGCACTTAATTGCCACTTAATTACTATTATTTGCTACTTAATTATTACTTTATTGCTAATTAATTGTTACTTAATTGCTACTTAATTGTCATTTAATTGCTACTTAATTGCTACTTAATTGCTACTTAATTGCTACTTAATTATCACTTAATTATTACTTAATAGCTACTTAATAACTATATAATTAATTCTGTATTTACTTGAAACTCATATACAAATCTGCTAACAAATTATTACAAAGCTAAAACAATATATATTTAATGTTGTAAAGAAATTATAACTAAATCGTCATAATATCATAACAATTTAAGTAATATTATTATGAAGATATAGTTACATTCTCTTGTTAAAATTGTAACAATAGTATTTTAATATTGTTACAATTTTAAATCTAAATTGTTACAACTTTTTTGCAAGATATTGTAATAATACAGTTACGATTATTATACAATTTATTTGTGATTTAGATACGATATTGAAATAAGATAGTAACTATATATTAAGAAAGTTAGTCGTGACAAAATTGTAACAATCAAGTAATTAATTAGTAACAATTTCTTAACGATTTTGTTACAAAATGCTAGGTTTCAGCAAAGATGTATATACGTACATACGTACGTATATACATAAGTAGCATACATGCTTGATCATAATGCATTGTGCCTTGTTTAACCAATTATAATCAGACAAATATTTAAAACTAACTTACTAAATATTTATGTGCCAAATTTATACCAAATAAAATTAATATATCAGATACTGTATATACGTAGTCATCTCAGGAATATGCAAAGCCTAAATAATAAACTGAGTTTAATTTCTTGTATGAATAACAAGTTTTATGTATATTAAAGCGAATTTGTCATTAGTACATTGGATTAAAATACGTTGGATTAATAATTGGTTGACAAATTTGTTTGTTAATAACAATAAAGTAATTGCTTTTTTTTAAAAAAAAGATTCTATATAAAAGACACATAAACTTTATATAAATCAATCCTATAATTTTATTTTATAAAAAAAAAAGAAAATTGTATTCTTATCAGTAAAGATATATAACTAAAATTTATGACCAATTAGTTTTATCTAAAAATATCATTACTTTTTTGATCTGATAATCTGATCTGATGGATATTTGCAATAAATTTTCTTCTCATGCCTCATATATACGCATTTGGCGCAATAATGAAACTCAAAATCAATCAAATTCTAGATGATTTATGGATGCCCAATATCACCAATGTAAATGTCAAGCATTAATATCTGAAGAAGCAATTTTAGAAAAAATGACTAATACTGAACAGCATCAACTACTAAGACAACAAAAAAAATTGCAACCATCTCTGACTCACACAGAAGCATTATTATACTCAAAAATACTTCCAGTTGAACTAAACATTGAAACAATGAATATTGTTTGTTAAGTATGCAGAGCTTTTCATTTTGCAGGTGAACGTACAGGTCGAAAATTAGATATTTTTATTTCATGTTGTCAAAAAGGAATTGTTACTCTTAGACAACCTCTACTATTTCCAAATGAATTAAAGCTTCTATTTAAAAAAAACCATCCTTTATCATCTGAATTCTTTAAAAACTACAACTCTGCTTTAGCGTTTGCTTCTATCCTTGCCAATTGTGAAACTTTAACTGGTCAAGGACCTCATATTTATCATATTTCTGGTCAAATATACCATTATCTTAGTTCTGCAAGACCCATGCTTGGAGAACTTCCTACTTTTAGTCAACATTATTTTCTTGATACAAGTGAAGCAAGGGGAATAACATAACAATATCCCAATAATATTTGCCTTAATCATGAGCTGCTTGATTTACTTGATCAAATTATTTGAAGCACAAGTCCACATGCCCAAGCTTATAAATTATGTGAGAAATTTTGAATGAAGAAGATCAACGTGCTCAGTTTGAAAGAAGACAACCACTAAATGTAGAAATAATTTTTGATTATAATCAACAATCAACTCAAAAGCAGTATAATTCACCTCAAACTAATGAAGTTGCTGCAATAGTTATTAGTTCTAATAGTAATCAATTTTCCCTACACCATCTGGTTATGCATCCCCGTGCTTCTAACTCTGATTTACAAATTATACCAGTTATCAATACTAACTGTGACCCTATGTCTTATCCTCTTATATTTCCAGCTAGAGATAATAGATAGCATCTGGGAATATTGAATAACTATGGAAAAAATATATCAATACTCCAATTTTATGTATATAGTATCTTCCAATAAAATATATTTAATCTTATTCTTGAAGTGGACCTCTTTTTCAACATT